TATAATTTGGACAGACGTAAACCAGTTCAATTGAACTTATTAGATCTGAGTACTGCTTTCGAGATGATGGATCGTTAAGGCATATCAGGGACTGCACGAAGCTGGTTCCAGTGGTATTTAAATGGCCGACCACAGAGGATCCAGCTTGATTCCGAACAGTCAAGTCCTAAGATTCTTGAATACGATGTTCACCAAGGATCAGTTCTGGGTCCTGTCTAGTTCACAGCTTATGAAAAAAAAAATGAAATGAAATGGGGTTTAACGTCCTACTGTTCTGCTCCTATACTGGGCTAATGAAGACGGGCATACGCCATACAGTGTGCTATGAGAGAAATTTTGCCCGGGCAGCGGCACTATCGCCTACTCTTATATCGAATTCCAACTGCCAAGGGATTTTTTACGTGCATTCCAATGTTTACACAGGACCTCGGTTTTCGTCTCATCCGAAGGACTAGTCAGCTGTCCTTGTTAGGCCCTCCGTCCTGCATCACTGACACGGGGAAACCACGTCGGAAAATCGGGATGAACTTTCTCGGCCAATGCAGGGATCGAACACCCGACCTCCAGGCTAGCGAGCCAGCGCCTTACCCACCTAGCCACCGTGGCTCCCTTCACAGCCTACAATGCTCCAATCGGTGACATCATTCGCGAAATAAGCCTCCATGACCATCTCTATGCGGACGACAAGCAACTTTATATAGAACGTGACCGTTCTTTAAACACCAATACCAAGGACCGAGAAAACTGCAGCGTGGATGCAAAATGAATGAAATGAAATGATTGGGGTTTAACGTCCTGCTGTTTTGCTCCAAGTGGACTAATGAAGACGGGTATATGCCATACGTGTACTAAACGGAAATTTTGCCCAGACAGCGGCGATATGGCCTACTCTTATATCGACTCCAACCACCAATGTGTACACGGGACCTCAGATTTTCACCCCATCCGAACGACTACACCGCTGTTCTTGCTAGACCTTCCGTCCTGCACCACTGACAAGGGGAAACTACGCCGGAAAATCCCGATAAACATTCTCGACTAACACCGGCAGGGAACCCGTGACCTCCAGGCTAACTAGTCTGTAGTGATCCGGCTACTGTCCTTTATACAGTCGATTAAACTCCAAGCGTCCTAAATACCCCTCTTTTGGAATAACTATATAGTATTACAATAAGACTGACAATGACGAATTCAGCAATGACATATTGAAAGCAGACTGAGGCTCCATTCTTGATGAGGACTATGTCGATAACCAAGCTTCACGGTTTACATATGAGTTGACAAGAATTCCCCCAAAAACAGCATTCCAAGTAAAAATCTAACGTTTCGACCAAATGATGAACAACTCATTCGGAATGTGAATTTGGAACAAATTCAAAATTCACGTACGAAAGACTCTTTTAACAATATATATGTGACACTATCCTGTGTCGCGGTACCAAATAAAAACGAACATCAGTTATTTTAATCATCAATTAACTGACTCTGGAACACCGTTTATGTTGTTACTAAGTTTATATAATTAAGAAAATACAGCAAACTACAATTAAGTTATGATAGTACTTTTCGAGTTATTAAATTATCCACGGTCTGGGTTTAATATCCTTTCTAACTCAAACCTAACAGCCTAAACGTGGCAAGAGCCACATACCTCTTGCTAGTTCTACATAAGGTTCGCGCTAGGATGAAATGATTCATTAGTGAAACAAAAAATTACTGTTGAGTCGAAATGGAAGATGCGTGATACGGATGTGAAAAATTCCGCTTGCCAAAAGTCTCTATTTACCATATGCTGGGCAGTTACCACGAACATGACTTTCACCACAATATAGACATTTATTAAATCTATAAGTGTAACCCGAATTTGTTTCGGGCATTTGAGCTTCCGTCCCACCCCCTAACATTCATCAAGCACATACGCCTATGCTTTGACCAGTTCACACTGAGCGGCTCTTTTTCTCAATTATGTGGTAAAATTATCAAAGCTTTCACTTTCGGACTGACGACAGGTTAGAATTCTATTTCTGAGAATTGTGAGATTTTTCCTGGGTTGAGCACGAGTATCAAACCTTTGTAAAAGCGGGTCTAGCTTCTTATTATCATCAGTAATGTCCCCAGTAGCTTCTTATTATCATCAGTAATGTCCCCAGTAGCTTCTTATTATCATCAGTAATGTCCCCAGTAGCTTCTTATTATCATCAGTAATGTCCCCAGCAAAATTATTATACTTCTCGCTACCTTGTTTACCTGTGTAGTACTTAACAGTAGTATTGAAGTCTTGACATTGTCTGCTTTGCTATCCCTTTTTGAGGCCGTGAGATAGATGACAAATTCTGGTTTCCAAATTTGTCAATTTTCGGCAACAGGTTCCTGGAAAGAGAGGGGCCGGAGGTTCAAACTTTTCGATTTCAAAGAATAGACCAAAAATCCAATAAACGAGCTTAATTTGGGGCTTATTTTAACAAATATGATAAGACTTACCATTAAAATCAACATTCATGAACAATTAAACTATTGCTAAGTTGGATATTTGTGTGATTTAACCAATTGAATAGGACTTTCTAATATCTGGAAAAGTTGATCGCCCAAGAAGCGTTACAGCGGCAGATTTTTTCATCAAAAAGGGTTATGTTTCTTGGTCACATCAAAGTTTCAAATTTTGCTCTGAAAAACGAATTCTTAATTTCCGCAGTTGGGATTCTTCGTTTTTTATGTATGTATAATTAACGATTGAATTTAACATTTGTACGCGTGCGCAGCCCTTAGTTAGAGAGAGATAGGTTGTCTGTATTCATCAGTTACCTTGAGCTGATTTTCTTTTAACGTTTACATGCAACAGACTATAGTTAAAACTTTCTAATAAGGGGAATTTCGTGGTTTACAAACGCAATATGTAGAGAGTGCTTGCCGTACCCATATTATAGATGGTAAATATCCTTTATCATAATCCTATTTTGTTTCAAATAATATATCACAAATATAAAAATTATACACATCAAAAACAGAGCACACGAAAGCATTTTTAAATCGGTTCGGCAGCAGTGGTCCAAATGTCTATCACTGCATCCGTAATTCGGTATAAGAATCTACTTAGAAGTCAAAAATGCGACTCCTACAATGTGTCTCGAAAAATTATTTGATCTGTTATATGACGGGAAAATTCTGTTATTAAAAACAACCGGTATGAAAATGACTACATAATAAATTGGAAGTTCTGCAATAAGGATCTGTTAGTGAAATGTTAGATTAATTTGGAGAGCATGCGCAATAAATAATATCGGTGTTGACTGGAATAACCAGACGCTTTAAACTGACTTGCGACTGAGACTTTTGGCGTATTTCGCCGAACCTAACTGATGACAATTCACAGTAAAACGGACACGATTGAATGTAAAACATTTTATATAAATTCATATTACATTATTATATGTGTTGCGACTCATTTGTGCCAATTTCTAGGTCCAAAATATTAGCGATTTAGCTCCTTTAAGTTTAAATATATCCTTTGTGTTTGAATTACCACTAAATAGTTGGTTGTGTCGTATTATGTATCAATCTGGAAATTTCTATTTTATAGCTATTGTTCTTGAAAGTAAGGCGCACAATTTACGCATCGTGTCGCGTTTTCATATTTTTAATAATTACTAAACAGTCAATACGCGCCTTTTTAGTTATATTTCAGTTCTAGAAAAATGAGTTGTTGCTGAATTTATGATAACTGAAACGTTTTGTAACCACCATGTTAGAAATTGCAAATGCAGTTTTTACGCGCGAAAGCATAAGCATACTAAACACGAATAATGACATAGCCATAATGGCACATCCTCCTATTAAATTTGACACAAATTCGCAGCGCCCTAAAATTTTATTTTAATCATACACGTCTGGTTAATCGAGACTAGGGAAAATACATTTCGTTCAATTAATTTCCAGTCTCAAATTTTTTTTCTGCGTATTTAGAGCTAGCAACAATGTAACTTCTAAACTAACTAAAGCGACAACTAACAACAGAGTTTTACGGTTAAATAAAAGTAACTTTCACACAGTGGTGGCACCAGCCGCCGGTGGTTGGAGGGGCAAAGCTGAGGCAAAGTCCAAGGTTAAGGGGGCAAAGGCACGAGCTACAACTACGGGTAGGTGGACCTCCCCCAGAAAGTTTAGAAAAACAGGCTGCCGGAAATGCAGCCTGGCAGTATTTCAGGCACTGATCGTTGAGATAAAGTGTCAAACGACCGAACCTCGACGAAGCCCACTTACGAGCGCCAAAGTAGGGAATCCCCCAGAAAATTTTGAAAAATAGACTGTCGGAAATGCTGTCTGGCAGTATTTAGGCACGATTGTAGAGATAAATAGAGCTGATCAGATGCCGTCTGTCGCCTGATCACTAGTCTATCCGACCCCAGAGAGGAAAGTGTTAAATGAACGGACTTGCGAACCCCAACAAAGCCCCCGAGAATTTGAAAAGTAGACTGCCGCAAATGCAGTCGGGCAGTATTTCAGCACTGATCGTCGAGATAAATAGAGCTTACCAGATACCGTCTGTCGCCAAATCACTAGTTTATCCGACCAGAGAGGAAGGTGTCAAACGGACGGAGTGAATGAATCAAAGTGAATGAATATTTTCGCCACGATATTTTGTGAAATAGACTGCCGGAAATGCAGCCGGGCAGTATTTCACAAATAGAGCTGACCAGATACTTTTCGTCGCCAAATCACCAGCTTATCCGAACAAGTGTCTCAAGTGAATGAATATTCTCGCCGCTTTGAACCTATTATATACCAAAAATCTTTATCGTAAAAAGCACTTCTCAAGTGGTTCACGTGTTATTGTTTATAGTAGGTTTACAGCAGGATGGGCTGGGTAAGAAATCACTCAGAATCTACAACATGCAAGTCTATGACTGAGTGGGGATGTGGGATTTAATCACCGTGGAAGGTAGTTGTACATAACTACAGACGGTGAAGGTTTCTATGCATTAATGTATCCGAGAAGGCTTCTTAAGATTCTACATCACCGGAAAAAAATATCAAAAATAATAATTCTAACTATATACAGTTAATAACTCTTATCTATATACAGTTAGTAACAACTCTAAATCATAACTAATTCATGTTGACATGTGTATCGAAGCCCTTCTTAACTTGTCTAGGTGAGGTATCAATAGCATAAGATGATGGATTAGCAGAATGTCCAGTTGGGAGCGACGATGAGCTATTGCTTCCTTGTTGTAGAGGGTAACCAACCCCTGGATGCATCGTAGTTGTTTGGATATTATCTGCAAGATAAAAAATATGGTTCTATATAATTAATAAACACACTGCTATCCTAATGTTTACATGTTTAAATAACTGATATGAGAGTATGTCATGTTTTAATTAAACAGCTACCCGTTGAGAGGAAGGAGCCAATGTCTCGTATAACACAGCTGACATGATCTCGTCTAATGCGTTACGGTAGGATTATCCCCATTGAGTCTACGATTTGGTACGTTTGGATACGTTTCGATACGATCAACACGATTGCTACGACTGACCTCAATATATAATAAGACCTGACAGTATCACTACGATTACTCCACGATTAAAACCATGATTTCAATCGTAGCACGAATCGTAATAGTGGCAACCTAGCATAAGACCGTCGGTAAGAGGTCCCGTGTGCACGTTGGCGTGCACGTAAAAGAACCCTTGACAATCCGAGCAAAGTGTCCTTCATAGAATCTTTATTAGCCCAGTCGGTGCACAAACGTAGAACGTTAAACCCCATTTAATTTCATGGCTGAAATGAATGGCACGTGGAATAATTTAAAATGTTTTATTGCCTTACGAAAATATTCAAGATCTGTAAGTAATTCGTCGGCCAAACTTACCATTGCTGATTATCCTGTTTGTTCCAAATTAAATATCGGCCTTTGGGGTAATCAAAACGAAGGCTGAGACAAGAATGGATAGAATTCAGAGACGATTCTTTAAAGGAATATGTCTAGCCTCATTCATCGAGTACCTTGTTACAAATGACACTTAAATGCATTATTGTAAACGATTGGTGTACCAATGGTCAAATGATACTTTTGTCTTACATTGGATATCAGAAGCCTATCTTTTCCCGGTATGATCACAAGATCAATGTTGATTTAAATTGACAAACAATTCCTGATTTCAATGTGGAAGACTTTGGTGGTTGATATTGAGTTAGAGACTTAGCTACTTTAACCTATTTGTTCAATATACTTACTAGAATATACCACAGCTGTGTTTGGCGCTGTAATAACATGACCCTGGGTGGCTTGTTGTCGTTTACGGAAAGAATATACAATAATAAGTATCACCACAATGATCGTGATAATTAATACCACTACACCCAGTACTATTCCTATGGTGGCATTGGTAATGGATCTGAAAAACAGATATTTGTATTTCCCAGTGTAAACAGAAAATGATGTGATATATTCTCCATAGTCCTACAATTGAAGGCATATAGGCTATCTTTAACAACCATGACACTGGGCTGAAACTCCAATCATAGGGATAACTAAAATAATACTATCGTACTACTTGCGTATTTATTTATTACTACCTTATAGTTATATTGATAGCATGACCACTTTACATACCAATTTCATTTTCTCTCGTTTACGTTTAGAATTATATGTTATATATATAGCACGGCTTGTGACAAAGTGATCTATAACTCTTATCAAATTGAACTTATTGATCTACAGCTGGTTTTTGATAGTATATATAATATTGACTTTTCAACTCTATATATACTTCTGTTAAGGCACGAACTGTCTGTGTTGTAATTAAACATGTAATTAATTCACGCTACACATGATCTGTGTACAACTTGGCATGACTTCAAATAGTCGGGTCAATATATGGAAAATACCAATTTCGTAATGATTGAACAGCTCAGTGACATCCAAAGTTGTCTTAATATGTTCCTTGTCCCCAAAAACTGGGGATAGACATCAAGATCATCAAATTTGAGTCAATAGTTATGGACTAGCGGTCATTTGGGGGTGATGGCGCCCATTTTTGACATAACAAACCAACATCATTTTTAATGATCTTCATGAGTTCTTTGCCCCCCAAAACCTAGGACTAGACCCCAAGATCATCAAATTTGAGTTGATAGTTACATAATTATGATCATTAAGACGTTTCGGTGGCCATCTTTGACGCCATCTTGAAAAAAAAACTTTTCCGGGGGTCCTACTTTGGTAAACTTTTAGTATGATATAAAGTACACTAAACCCTGCCAGAATCAGTTGAGAAACCTTTTTTAGCAATTCTTTTTTTTTTTGGGGGGGGGGGGGGGAGTTAAACTGTATTTTGACCTGACTAAAAGGAATACGCACTTGTCAGTAATTATACCATGACGTGATAAGAAGACAATTCCATATATGATCATGAGTTTTGTCTATTTTCCCTATTGTCAGACCCTATATAACTAGGAGTTTGCTGATAGTTAGACAGGCGACTAGAGAAGGGTGGGGCTAGAAGAGAGGCTTGGAAGAGTGCATAGACTCACAGAGTTCAGCCGCTGCCTTGACAGGGGGGCGGAATGGTGGATTTAATATAGTTATGTACCGTCCTGGTGTGTTCCTGTCGTAGTCTAGTTTCTGTATAGTTTAAGTTCCTGTATTGTTGTCGTATGTATGTAGCTGTGTTTGATATTCTGTTCCAATGTAAATAAACCATTTATGTGCGAAACTGATCTCTGTTATCACTAAGATAGTGTTACAGGCTTTCGTGAGTTAACATTTTTAACCACAGAGGCCGTAGGCCGAGGGGTTAAACCAGTTAACGAATGGAGCGTGCTATAAATGACTTGTAACATTGACACCTGCTCAACATGCTCGTTGTTATTGCACAGATAACCTACCCCACTTCTCTATATGATTTCTACTAAACCTGGCGTAAACTAGAAAAAGTGTGCAATATCATTGAAAATGACTAGTTATTGCACGGTTATGCTCCAGCCAATCTGCTAGAGGGACAACGAAAAGAACAAAGGAAGATTTCCCGTCCACGTTACAAGTTATGGTCGAACATCAAAACTGCACTTCGGTATCAAGGGAGATAACTAAAAAAAATATTTATTATTTGAGAGAGAGAGAGAGAGAGAGAGAGAGAGAGAGAGAGAGAGAGAGAGAGAGAGAAAATGGGGTTTAACGTCCACTCGACACAAACTAGGTCATTTCGGGACTAACATATGGTTTAATTTTATTTACATAATTCGCTTGTGCGTAGGGGTCTTTAGCAGTGGGAGGAAACCGGAGGACCCGGAGAAAACCCACGAGGTTGGACAGGCGACCCTACTCCTTGCCACGTTTTATTATTTGAATTCAACTAAGAACTATAAAAGACCAAATAAAACAACGACATACGTATCACAGCATACGTTTTTAAGACGGGCGTGGTTTCCGGTAGTACAGCATCCACCAGTACAAAACCTGTAGCTTGAGCCGATGTAGGTATCATACCGACCATACAAATTATAGGTACAGAGCGCGGCTGTAACAACTTGAACTAAAACACAAAATACAAATTAAATTTGTAAACACTATATATTTTCACCATCGTTTAAAACATTTAATCGAACTTTAAAGGGAGATCCCTGATCAAAAAGACATTCTGTCATATTACGTATTTTTGTTTCAATAATCTGGATATAACTAAGACGCTGGCTCGCTAGCCTTGAGGTCGCGGGTTCGATGCCGGTGTTTACCGAGAAAGTTCATCTGGATTTTACGGCGTGGCTTCCCCTTGTCAGCGGTGCAGGAAGTGGGGGCTGATAAGGACAGCTGTCTAGTCGTTCGGATGGGACGAAAAATCGAGGCCCGTGTACACATTGGCGTGCACGTAAAAGATCCTTGGAAGTTGGAATTCGATATAAGTGTAGGTCGTAGCGCCGCTGTCCGGGCAAAACTTCCCTCGTAGCACACTGTATGGCGTTTGCCAGTCTCCATTACCCCAGCCGGAGCATAAAAGTAGGACGTTAAACCCCATTTCATTTTCTAGACTTTCACACTTAAACGATAAAAATAGACACACTCCGTTAAAACCCCAACTTTTCGATCTACGTACAGCATTGAAAAGGAGGGATTGATTCGGGAATATGGAGTTCGTTGTGGACATTCGATTAAACGTTCTTGAACTGAATTATCCCCGGCCATTTATAATATGTGTCTACCTCGGAAGGTTACGGCAAGCTAACCTTGATACAACAACCAGAATATTGTGTTTGAATCGTTTAGTGGCAGGAATTATCAATACATACATCTAGTTTAATAACGGATCAATCATTTAGGTCATAACGGCCAAACATGTTGGCCATAATTGCCAAATAAAATTCAAACTGTTCTATATTACTAACATTATGAACCGACTAGGTCTAACATGAATATACTACTGTCTGAAACGTCGTAAATTTTAAACGGATTTCTTCGAACTATGAACCTACTAGGTCTAACATTATGAACCTGCTAGATCCAACATTGTGAACAAGCTAGGTCTTGACTAAACATAAATCTTTACCTTGTATAGACGACAATAAACAGGATAGATACAGCGTTACATTGAACGCCGCGGCCATTACTAAATATTGATTCGATTACATAGGTTATAGTTAACCAGGTAAAACTAGAATTAAATCACACGAATATAGTCTTCAACAAATTCACAAAATGGATACATCTATGTGTTCAATAAAACGTACAATAATCTGTCCAGTTGTTTTTCGTTGAAGATAGTCATTTTTTTTTAAAACATCGCGGTCCAGTACTGAAGATTCATCCTGTTGTTAAAACATCCCTGTATTGATTAATGTTTAGACATATATCACAATACAGACATTGATCACGTGATCGCATTCTATTTGTTTTATTAAATAAAACCGACATTAATCGGTCCAGTACACTCACACATATGTTGTTATGAAAATTTCATACACTGTGTATATTGAATTAGGTCACGTTGTCTGCTATTCAGAGAAAGAGAGACGAGAGAGATGGAGTGAGAGAGAGAGAGAGTGTAACAGAGTTTAACGCCAACTCGACACAAACGAGGTCATTTCGGGACTAGCATATGCTTTAATTTTATTTCAATAATTCACTTGCGCGTGGGATCTTTTAACTGTATGAGGATCGAAACCGGATTAGCCGGAGAAAACCCATAAGGTTGGACAGGCGACCCTACTCCTTGTTACGTACAAGCGGTTATTTGCAACCACGCCGCTTGATTCAATGACAGCATTATGATTTTACGCGCACGTGTTAAACCACTAGACCACCCAACTGCCATGTAGGTTAGGGCAGATCGTAAATATGGCTCACACACCTTTCATTTAAATGCAGGTCCCGGTTTCCCAATAGACCGGGAGCCCAGGAGGTTAGCCTAGATGAAAAGGGTACCAATTTTCGCGTATATGGTATCAAAGCATGCATATCTGGTATCATCAAAATGTAAGTCTGCCGGGTATCTGGTGGTGGGTGTGGCTGTGAGGGCGTCGATACTGGGTATACAGCAGTGTACCGTACATCTTCAAGTATTACAAAAACACTCTGACAGACATTTCTAGTGGTGGGGTACCCACGACAGAGTTATGTAATTGCCAGACCACAGCTAGACTAGATTAGCTGAAATCTGTACCACTTAAAACTGCTTGGAAGTTGTTCAGCATCACAACAGGAATCAAGAATGATCACTGCCAGACAATTTGTGCGGTGGGTTACCCCTAACAGAACACCCAATATGCCACGCCACCCAGCTAGTCTAGATTAGCTTAAATCCGTACCGCCTAAAACTGCTTGGAAGTCATTCAGCACCACAGGAATAATGAGTGATCACTGCCAGACAGTTTGTGCGGTGGGCTACCCCTAACGCACATGCCCAAAATGCCAGCCCCGCCCCTCCCCACCTAGGCTAGATTAGCTGAAGCCCGTACCACCTAAAACTGCTTGGAAGTTGTTCAGCACCACAGGAATCATGAATGATCACTGCCAGGCAGTTTGTGCGGTGGGTTACCCCTAACACTAACAGACACGCCAAAAATGCCACGCCCCCAACTAGGCTAGTCTAGCTGAAGCCCGTACTACCTAAAACTGATTGGAAGTTGTTCAGCACTACCACATCAATCAAGAATGACCACAGTCAGACAGACACACCCAAAATACCACGACCCCCCCCCTCCCCCAACTAGGCTAGACTAGTTGAAGTCCGTACGATCTACAATTAATTGGACGTTGTTCGGCAAAACCTCAGGAATCATGGATTACCACTTCCAGACAGATTTTGCGGTAGGGTAACCTTGATGACCGGCCAAATTGCCACGCCCCGAAACTAGGCTGGATTAGCTGAAGTCGGTACCACCTAAAACTGGAGGTTATTCAGCGCCACCACAGGAATCAAGAATGGCCACTACAAGACAGTTTGTTCGTGGGGTACCAATAACAAAAAGCCCAAAATGTCACGCCCCGCAACAAGGCTACATAAGCTGAAGGCTGATGCCACTCTGGGGAAATTTTAATATTCAAGATGACCGTCATGAGACATTTTCTGGTTATTTACTTTAATTTAGTGGGGTAAAATTCGGGAGAGATTCTCTCGAACCTTGGTATGAAGGTAGTTTCTATAAGAATTTGACCCATTGAATCCGACGAGTTTGGGTGTTCCTCCTAAAAGTGACTGCTAATTCCAGTAGGAAGCCAAATTCACAATGGGGACTCATTTTTGAAGGAAACTCATAATGTTCCATAAAAGGGCGTGTAATATATTGAAATATAGGTTTTCGTTGTCAATTACTTCAAATATAAACATAAAAAAACATGTTTCGACCAAAAGGTATTCCAATCCGATGATATTCTGTCCCTTGTATTCTTATAAGGACACAAATTATACAGAATCAACCATCGGGCCATCGTGAGTCGAAAGCAAATGTTTATAAAAGCTAACTGGGGCTTGTCGAACCTCATGTAAAAGTCTAACTTACGCTCGCTTGAATCACTGGAATACTTGAATCAGTATAACAGTCTGATTCTTCCGCTTTCATCATTATCGTGCAACGGGGGTGAACCTTTTCTTGACAGTTATTGGGTCACTCATATGCGCCGGTAAAGTTGAGGTTGGCAAACATTTTCCATCCCTTCTTCCTCTGTTTTGTTTGGTAGAGAGGGTGTCATAGTGAATCATAATGTATGCTTGACAATTCGCTCTATGAATTCGGCGAATCAGAAAACTTATAGTTTAAAACATTACTAACTTCGTTATGTCTCGCGAAAAACGGCCGCCACTTTGAATATGACCTCAACCTGGAATACCTTTTGGTCGGAATATGTTTTTATGTTTATATCTGAAGTAACTGACACTGAAAACCTATATTTTAATATACTGCACACCTTTGTTAGGGGACGATATGGGTTTCCCTCCAAAATAAGCCTACATTTTGAATTTGGCCCCCTAGCGGAATTAGCCATCACTTTTAGGATGAATAGCAAAATTCATTGGATTCAAATTACGATAGAAACCAGCGTCATACCGAGGTCCGAGAGAATCTGTCCCAACTTTTACCCAACTAAATTAATGTAAATAACCAGAAAATGTCTCATGTCGGCCATCTTGAATATTTAAATTTTCCAAAGGGTGCCAGGGTGGCATTACCCAGATTCTGAATCTACACATATTAAAGACATATAATCCACTCAAAACCTAAATTTCAATATATTGCACATCTTTTTAGTGAACCTTATGAGTTTCCCTCTAAAATGAGCCTCTATTTTTAATTTGGCCCTCTAGCGGATTTAGCCATCACTTTCAGGAGGAATACCCTAGCTCATTGGATTCAGCAGGTAGACTTATTCTAGAAACATATTCAAACCGAGGTCCGAGAGCAGCTGCCACATATTTTACCACACTAAATAACCAGAAACCGCCTCATGTCAGCCATCTTGAATATATAAATTTCCCCAATTCTGAATCTACACATATAGAAAATATATAATCCACCAATAAACATTAGGTGGGCTATATTTCCGTGTCAAGGCTTAAAATGGGGTTTGGCAACTGGACTTTATGGTTCGTATGTCAGTGGTCACCGAGTTGAACCACTACTTATTATTCTTCATACAATTACTTAATCTTTAATAGATATTACATACTCATGAAAAAATGTAATACCTAGAATTCTCAATAAGTCTGACCCAGCTGATAAAGCCGGATTTTTGGGAGGGGCGCTTGGCTGTCGTGTCTCTTGGGAGAACCCCACCAAACAAACTCTCTAGCAATGGGCAGTGTGATCCCTGGGGTGCTGAACAATTTCCAAGCAGTTTTAAGTGGTACACACTTCAGCCACTCTAGCCTAATTGCGAGGCGTGTCATTTTGGGCGTGTCTGTTAGGGGTTACCCACCGTACAATCTGTTTGGCAGTGATCATTCATGATTTCCTAATTCTTTGCTCCTACTTTCCATGAAATGTATACCTCCTTGAATTTATCGAAACCAGCAGTTATAAGTGGTACATATTTCAGCTAATCTAGCCTAGTTGCGGGGCGGGGCATTTTGTGCGTTTCTTCCAGGGGTATCCCACCGCAATATCTGTATGGCAGTGGTAATTCATGATCCCTGTGGTGGTGCTGAACAACTTCCAAGCACTTTTAGGTGGTACGGACTTCAGCTAATGTAGTCTAGTTGGGGGGGGGGGCGTGGTATTTTCGTCGTGTCTGTCGGGGTAACCCACCGCACAAATTGTCTGGCAGTGATCATTCTTGATTCATGTGGTGATGCTGAACAACTTCCAAGCAGTTTTAAGTAGTTCAGATTTCAGGTAATCTAGCCTAGCTGTGGTCTGGCAATTACATAACTCTGTCGGGGGTACCCCACCACTAGAAATGTCTGTCAGAGTGTTTTTGTAATACTTGGAGATGTACGGTACACTGCTGTACCATTTTCATGTGGTACACTTTTGAGCTAATCTAGCTCAAGAATCCATACCCAGTATCAAAGCCCTCACAGCCACACCCACCACCAGATACCCGACAGACTTACATTTTGATGATACCAGATATGCATGCTTTGATACCATATATGCGAAAATTGGTACAATTTTCAGCTAGGTTGACCCCCTGGGCTCCTGCTCTACAAAGCATTCTAAGATTGTTTATGAGAAATATCTTTGATCGAGAAATACAAAACTTTGCGCATAGTTTCTTATTGATGTATTTGATACATTAAAACAACAAAAGTCTTATAAAGGGCTATATTTTAGTGAAAAGAAGGCAAAATATTTTGAGTAAAATCTGAGAATGCTTTGTGAACTTGGGGTCAGATCATTGGATATTCAATGGCTTACTGAACTAAGAAAGAAGTATTTTACGTCGTTGGCCCGCCCGTCAATATTTGGCTCGTTAAGGCAATGGACGTTACAAATTAGGTGTGAAGCATGCATTGGGATTATGAGAGGACATCCCTTTCCGAATTTAGCATTCCATGAACGTCTCCCCCCCCCCCTGCCGCATCCCCCATCGACCCTTTTTCATAAACCATCATGAATGCTACAGATACTACAGGTTGTAATTGAATTATTTCCAAATGTTTCGTTAGGATTTTCTTCTGTCCATTTTCAGGGTTCCTCGACCTTCCGGGAGTCCCCCACCCCCCCATTACCAAAACCCCTGTTCTCTATAGGGATTACACACTTAAACAAATTTGGTGTAAAGCATTAGGATAACTCCGTTCTGGAAACCATAACGCGATATAGCCTACAGTTTTTGCACAGATTTGGTTTGAAGCATTGTTGACAGTAGGATGCAATCCGTATCGATTGTCAACATTCAGCGACCTCCCGTTCCAGAGTTATGCCCCTTTTCCGAAAACCTTGTGCACTCAATAAAGGCTACAGGTTTCAACGGATTTTTGTTTATCAAATTTGGTGTGACGCACAAGAACTGTGAGTTGGTGAACCGTATTTCTTTTCAGTTGGAATCGGAGATTTTCAACACTTTAGAAATCAGATTTCTCGAGGGCATGAAGTATTCCTAAATTGCCTGTTTCGTATTTCAAGAAATATTATTAAATCTGTTATTGGTAGTTGAATTTGTTACAAATATGTATTGAAATAAATAGGTGCACATATAAAACACAGCATCGAACATGACCCAGTGAGATAGGTGGAGTAGGCAACACACCTCCAACACAGTGTGAAAAATTCGGAAAAAGCAAGTGTAACCATAATTAGACACAGAAGGCAAAATAATGGCAAATTAATTGGTTTAAACATATTTTATTACCAGAAAATAAATGGATCGTACAAAAGTTACATAAACTTATAAAAACAGGCTTTCCTTCAAATTAATTGCCGGCTAATAGTCTACCAAAAGTCTTATGCCATTAATTTTCACAGCAGTGCAGGAATTAGTCCAATATCGTCATTTACATTACATGTCGTGTTTACAAGCTTGAGAAATGTCTTTAAAACCGAGAGAGGGTGAGAAATGTTTTTAAAACCGAGAGAGGGTGAGAAATGGCGTTTAACGTCCAATCGACACAAACTAGGTTATTTTGAGACCAACACATGGTTCAATTTTATTTCAATATCCGCTTGCGCGTAGGGGTCTTTAGCAGTGAGAGGAAACAGGGGGACCCGAACAAAACCCAAGAGGTTGGCACGTACAACCGGGGAATCGAAACCCCACCAGTTGACTCAATCCCAAAATGACCTGATTGATGTTGATTGATGTTTAGTATCATCATTTTGTAAGATGTCGATAAAGAGCTAGCCATTCTTGCTATGATAGTTCGAACATAGATAAATACTCTATTGCGAGCGAAGATATTAGCCTTTGCAGATTTGACAAGACGTGTGCAATAATTTCAACCACGGTACTGGTTATCCGAAGCTATTTCTCGCTCCTCAATTTTTAGCTTAAATCAAAATATGGCTGAACTGTTCTCATCTATTTAATATCGGAGAAATCCGATGCCATCGAGAGTTGATTATGGCCTGGATAAGTTAATTAATATCTAATTAATAATTTAGATAACATTTCAGCCCTAACGAAAGACCTGCAATTGGCAGATTTAGCTCTTGCATAATGTATGTTTAAAGAGAAGTCCTCGTAGTAAAAACCACATAGCTGGATCTGTGAATTACTTACAAATCAACTGTGTGGATTCAATAAGGTTAAATATTTCCATCTCTTTAAAATCATACAGTGATTGAAGTTTCCTTTTCATTAAATATATCGTGGACGGCGCCGATAACAGCAAATCACCGGGAAATATAAAGAATATTAAAATATTAAGACGTTCTCTGGCTATATACAGTTTATATAATAAACAGTTCTCTGTCTATAAACAGTTTATATAATAAACCGCTACCTGTATATACATATTTAAAATAGAATAAACAGTTCCCTGTCTGTATACAGTTAATATAATAAACCATCATCTGTCTATACACAATTAATATAATAAACAGTTTGCTGTCTATATACAGTTAATATAATAAGCATTTCTCTTTCTATACAGTTAATTATGCTACACCGTTCTCTGTCTATAAACAGTTAATACACTAAACAATTCTCTGCCCATGCTAAAACTGGTCTAAATGAAATGTTACACAATACTGTTTTATGACCAACATGTAATGAAATGAGTTGAACTGTAGGATTTCCCATTGACCTATACAAGCCATATGTGTTTGAATTTGGTTCATTTTTTGAACTTGGCGGAATCACATTAAATCTTCTCCTTATATATCAGTTTTTGGCATTTTTGCTTGTTTAGTATGTATGTCCTCGGAGAACGTAACTCGGCGCACAAATCTGATTAAACAATAGCACCATATTCAGATAGGGGTGTTATGATACTTTATTACCATTGTGTATAGTTGATGAACAAAACCTTCGGAGATCACGGGCGGTTTAAGATTAAACCACAGTCTCAAAGCCCTTATTAGTTTGTCCAGGGGAGGTAAATGTATCACAAGATGGTGGTGGGTCAGAATAGTCAGTTGGAGATAGTGATGAGTTATCTTTTCGTGAGTGATATGGTTGAAAGTTAAAATCAATTGATGGAGGATAACCAATCCCTGGATGAATCGTGCTTTGTTCAACATTATCTGTAAGATAAAAGATCCAAGAAAAGATATTTCCATGTATATAAGTTTTATCAGAACCCTAATTCAAAGGTCATACTACATGGGATCTGGAAATAATTTGATCAAATGCTGTGAATTCAGTTAAAACATGGATAAATTATTATGATATTTAGTCCAAAGCTGTAAATCCAATTTAACATGCATAAATTATTATGGTATTTGGTGAAATGCTGTGAATCCAGTTTGAACATGGATAGATTAGTATGGTATTTGGCGAAATGTTGTTAATCAAGTTTTAACATGGGTAGATCATTATGATATTTGATCACATTCTACATGAATTTGAAACTTGGGGTTTAGCGTGCTATTTTTCTGCTCCGGCTGGGCTTATGGGGTTTAGCGTCCTACTATCTAGTATTTTTCTTCGACTGGGATAATGGGGTTTAGCGCCCTACTGTTCCACTCCGACTGAGCTAATGAAGACGGGCATAACCAGACAGTGTGTTATGGGGGACACTGTGCTCGGATTGCAGCGTGACGGCCTACTCTTGTATTGAATTCCAACTGTCAAGGATTCTTTTACATGCATGCCAATGGTTTCTCTGCCAACCCACGTCATCCCCAGACTAGCGAGCCAGTGTCTTGCACACTGAGTCACCGCGACTCTCCACATTAATTGTTAGTAAATACTTACTAGAATATACAACAGCTTTGTTCGGGGTTGTAGCAACCTGACCGTCAGCAGATTTTCGCCTACAGCAACAACATACAATAATAACTATGGCAACCACGATAATGACAACTGATGCCACTACACTAACAATGATGATGATACCGATATTAGAGTTGTAACTGAAAAACATTTTATTTTATACATTAAAAATTGATTTGGTGTCAGACTGGCCCCGAGTTCACAAAGCATTCTCAGACTTAAGTTGAGAATTTACTTAAAATTGTTCACCTTATTTTAACTAAAATATAGCCCTTTATAATAATTTTGTTGTTTTAATGTATCAGATATATCAATAAGAAACTATATGCAAAGTTTTGTGTATCTGGATCAAAGATATTTCTCATAAACAGTGATTGAAAGTTGTGAAATTCTCAACTTAAGTCTGAGAATCCTTTGTGAACTCGGGGCCTGGTAATTGACCCCAAGAGAGAGAGAGAGGGGGGGGGGGGGGCTTAACGTCCACTCGACACAAACCAGATCATTTCGGGACTAACATATGGTTCAATTTCATTTCAATAATTCGCTTACGCGTAAGGGTCTTTAGCAGTGGAGGGAAACCGGAGGACCTGGAGAAACCTCTCCTTGTCCGGTACAACCATTCGGCCACCCCCCCCCCTCCCCGGCCGTCTCTAACAGAATAACCCACCGATTGCCTTCAATGTTAAATCTATATATTTTTTTAACCTTCCGGTGTTATCAATCTTCACAACCACAAAGAGCCTATATGTCCAAATTATCTGATAAAAAAATTGGAAGGGGTGTGACCGTCTTGAGTTTTAGCTAGGCCTGGTCAAATGGAATCTTCAGACAGTGAAGTCATCTCCCTACTTCTCGATCCTTTCTCACCCACCCAAATCACGAATATTCCCCAAAACCGTGCAGAAAATGGAAACACTAATTTTCGATTCTAGAACAAAAGAGAGGAGTTGATATAAATTGAGATATTACATGATAGTAGAAATCTCCTATAACCCCACGCACAGACCTGGTCGTTAATATCAATGGAAATTGTCATCCTATGGCATGCGTAGATTACGATACAATATACTTTTTAAAAAAAGTAGGGGACATTCAGAAACAATACAAAACTGTATGTTAATAACAGGCCAATTGCCTACACGTGAACATAAACAGTTCATATGGGCGGCTTACCTGACGGCCCCATTTCACTCGCAAAGAGATAACCCGTCAAAACTGAAAATGGACTTTTTGATTTTTGTCTTAATAATGAGTAATTGCTCCACCAATCCTATGACATGCAGCAATTTATCGTGGCATGCTCATAATCAACCGTCCAATCACGATTTGGGGCAGTCTAACCCACCCATCATAATGAGTAATTGCTCCACGAATCCTCAGACATTCAACAATTCATCGTGACATGCTCATAATCAACCGTCCAATCACAATTTGGGGGATCTGACCCACTCCTCTTGCAGTGCCACGCCCAATTCTTGCAGTGTTGTCGGTTGACGTTGACGTCGACAAACACGTCACCCGATCAAATTAAACGTAACACACTAAAGAAAAGATACGCTAAACAGTAAATCTTATGCAAGAACCGATAGGAAAGCAAACAGGGATAGATAAGCCAGCACGCGGCAGTTTTCATCAACCCTTACTTGAAGTGTCAAATTTGTCAATGAACCCCTCCCATGCGTATGGTGCTATTACGTGTCGCATGTGCAGCTCAGTGGTTCTGTTGGGGCGATAAGTACTTCCTATGTGAACATACTCTCAAAGCATGTCAGGTGTCCATGACTATTTATCATATCACAACCTGCATAGGTATTTGCATTTCAATATCCTCTACTTTTTTTTTGGAAGAGTAGGCTATATTTCCTGGCAATTTCAATATATTATTCATTACAGTTAGATATGTTTAGAGCCCAACAACCACTAGAGCTTTAAACCCCATTTCGTGTAGAGTCCAGCAAACCGAGAACATAATATAAAACAGCTCCTTAGACTTTGATTTGTTTTAAATCTCAACTTGTACGTGACAGGAGTCGGGTCGCTTGTCCAGCCTCGTAGATTTCCCCCCACCCCACCACCCGTTTCACGCTCACACTCCAGACGCAAAACAGTAGGACGTTAAACCCCATTTCATTTCATTTCTCACACTCCAGCTCTCAAACTCCCACTCGCACTCACTTTCACCCGCAAACTCACTTTCCCAACCACTCTCACACTCACGCTCACGTTCACACTCACTTTCACTCTGACACTCACTTTCACTCTGACACTCACGCTCACACTCAATTTCACTCTGACACTCACGCCCACACTCACGCTCACACTCACTTTCACTCTGACACTCACGCTCAAACTCACGCTCAAACTCACACTCACTTTCACTCTGACACTCACGCTCACACTCAATTTCACTCTCACACTCACTCTCACCCTCAAACTCACATTCACTTTCACTTTTCCTCTCACACTCACCCTCACTCTAACGCCCACTCTCGCATATCCTCACACTCTTACATATATTTACTTACTAACTTTCTTAATTTACTTTACGTATATTTCTTATATTTAAGTATTCATCGTTTAATTTGAGTAAAAACTATCATGTTACCTGTTAGTGCAGCATACATCAAAATATGTGGCGTCACTTCCGGTAATACAGCAGCCATAGGGACAATACCTAGACTTTGAACTGGTAGCGGATTCATAATAGTCACAGTTAAAGGCTGTACCAACTTGAAATAAAACAGATTTGAGGGTAATTAGTTTTTATTTAATTTAATTATCATACTGAAACCTCCTCCGCTGACAAGTGTGGACCAATCCGGAAAATCCCTTTGAACTTTCTCGGCCAACGCAGGGATCGAACTCAGGACCTCTTACTCACTGAGCCACCATGGCCACAGATCTAGAAAGTCAGTTGTCTTAATTAATCCATACCGGTGGTTGCGAACGTTTGGGAGCTGCCCCCCCTCCCCACCACCACCATACCGAGCACTATTTATCTTGTTATTGCTCTTGTTGGCGTGCGTTCGCAGGGGGCGACACTCTTCATGTTTGTTCCTTGTTCCTAATACCATTTACACCATCTAATTACCGAAACGAGATCAATCTAAAATAGACGATACACAATCAGATCATAATGCAGTGTAGACGATACACGTACAGATCATCTTTACACAGACAGATCATAATGTAGGGTAGACGATACACATACAGATAATAGATGCACAAACAGATCAAAATGTAGGGTAGACGATAGACAGACAGATCATGTAGGCTAGACGATACACAGACAGATCATGTAGGCTAGACGATAGCCGATTATAATGTAAGGTAGACAGACAGGTCGTAACGTAGGGTAGACGATACACCGACAGATTATAATGTAGGGTAGACGATACACAGACAGATCGTAACGTAGGGTAAACGGTAAACAGACAGATTATAATGTAAGGTAGACAGACAGATCGTAACGTAAGGCAGACGATACTCAGACAGATTATACTGTAGGGTAGACGATACACAGACAGATTATAATGTAAGATCGTAATCTAAGGTAGACGATACTCAGACAGATTATAATGTAAGGTAGACAGACAGATCGTAACGTAGGGTAGACGATACACAGACAGATTATAATGTAAGGTGGACAATGCACAGATATGCTTTCTGAGGTTTTCGTCAGTTAGCCGTAAAGTATGGTGGCGTGAAGGTCAGGCTTTGAGTCGGCTCATTATATTAGGAGGGGGGGGGGATAACTGGAAATCACTGTTCATGATAATCTAGAATAGTCTACCATGCCTAGAGATATGTCCATCGATGTTCAGAACGTTTGATTCGAACTTTTTACAACACAAATGCACCATTTTCTACTCATCCCATGGAATTTACTTCTTCCTGAAGCAAGTTTACCCGTATAGTCCGATGTAAACCGCTAAGCAAATTTCTGTTGTTCGAACACAAGTATTCACGTATACCTCTAAACGTATTCCGAATACCGTATACCCCTATGTAATAGCAGCCTTATGCGTTCAAGTGTTCTCATACCAGTCAGTAAACATGCTGTAGGCTGATCAATTATTATAATACTTGTATCTTTACTACAGGTCTAACTATAGTAAACACGTTGTATTTTACAACTTGTATCCTTGTACAAACATGATATATACCATAATAAATACATGATATATAGACGCCTACCATTGCTAATACATGATATATACCAGCCCACCATTGTCAATACATGAGGTATACGTCTAATAAAACTACCTGGTTTAACTGGTGTAAACATGAAACTTTACCTTGTATAAACGAGTATAAACAGGATAGATACAGCGTTATATTGAACACCGCGGCCATTACTAAATATTGATTCGATTCTACGGGTTATAGTTAACCAGGTAAAACTAAAATTAAATAACACAAATTTAGTCTTCAACAAAATAACTAAATGAATACATCTATGTGTTCGATAAAACGTACAATAATCTGTCCAGTCGACATGTTGTTACGACACCTTTATTTAAATATAGTATTACAATACACTGTGCACATTCACCGAGGTCATGTGATCCGCTATACAGTTAAAAGTGTGTTATTTGATATGCACTGATTCACTAAGGAGCAAGTCCTTTGTTATATTTGCCGACGTAACTGAGAACACAGTCAATGGTTGTATGCTGACATAAAATTTAAAGGGGAACAATACATCGGCGACGGTCCTGCACATTTTAGCACAAATGACGTCATATGCTAGGGTTTGGGTAAGGGTTAGGACCTGTAGATTTGGTCAACGTCTCGAGATGTAAACAGGGCTAACAGTAACCCTAACCCTAACTCTGGACCAAGTCTTACCCTTACCCTAATCCCTAACGCACAATCCACATATGACGTCATATGTGCAGTACCGTCTCTGATCAAGCATTCTCCGACATTGTTATCGGTAGTTGAAAACAAAACAAAATATATTGAATATGTGCAGGTATAAAACATAACAGCGTTGTAGTGGAATATCGGAGCCGCGGTGACTCAGTGAGTAAGATGTTGCTCACTTACCTGGAGTTCTCGCGCTCGATCATGGTGTTGGCCGAGAAAGTTCAGTGGGATTTCCCGTTGTCGGTGTTGCAGGACGGAGGGAGTGCACATCAAAGAAGCCTTGGCAGTTGGATTTCGATATAAGAGTAGGCCGTAGTGCCGCTGTCCAAACAAAATTTCCCCAAGAGCACACTGCCAGTGTGGTGTATGCCCGTCTCCCTTAGCCCAGTCGGAGCAGATCAGTAGGAAATAAAGCCTCATTTCATTTCATTTCATTTAGTAGTGTAACATTGCCGTAATCAAGTACAGCCTGTCTGCATAGTAACAACAATATAATGAAGTTGTACCATTTTATACAGAATAAATTTATACAGTTTGCATTTTATTGTCCAGTCATTTATTAGTCTTGGTGTGTAACATTTTATTGTCCAGTCATTTATTAGTAAAGGGAACATGTCTTATTTTTGTTATAGGGGGTCAAATTATCTATAAAACGACCACACAAGGGTTCAGTTTCACAACAGTTTATTTAATATTCAGTAAAAAAACAACCCAAGAAGGGGTTTTTAAATGGAAGTAGCCAGAGACTGGAATGAGGTGAAGTACCTTATACGCTCTTTTTAACTGTAAACAACAAATCTGTAGATAATAATGATACTAATAAATACTATTACACACGATTGATGAAAATAACAATCGAATCGACAAGAAACTCTAAATATAAAAATGATACCAAGGTTGGATGAAACATACAACCTTACTCTACCAAATCCTATCTAATAGTGACCAAGATGATTTTACAAACAACTCCAAGAAACCTTCGGGTCAAAGGTGAAAATGAAACACCAGTGAGCAGGTTGAGTGAACTCTAACTCACTGTATACCTTTAAGAAGAGTGTATAGAACAGAACAGTTTAAAGATGCAGTGATGTGTAACATATTATCTAAGAGTAAATTAGAATTGTGACCATATTAAAATGTCCATACAATAAATAAAATTACTCTACTACATTTTACTAAGTCTTGGTGTGTAACATTGGCGTAGATGTGTTTCCACTCAGTCACATTTGAAGTTTTATGAATGAATGAATGAATGAATGGTCTGAGTTTAACGTCCTAGAAGTGGAAAAGGAGCTGAACTTGAAACAAAAAGAATGATTAAAGACAACCGATGCTCGTGACAATCCTATTATAAAGTATTTCCGTCAACAGATAGGGTTGGGGTGGCTAAATAGTTAACGTGTGCGCGTTGCATGATAAGGTCTTCAAGTGGCGTGGTTTTGATTCCCCGCTTGTACGTGACAAGCCCCGTGGGTTTTTCCGGTTTCTCCGAATGCTAATTGAAAGAGAATTGAACAAAATTTGGATCCTAAAATGACTTAGTTTGTGTTGAGCGGACATTAAACCCGATTATTCTCTCCCTCCGTCAACAGATAATTCCGACACTACCATATAAAGCTTACACCCATTTAAAGCAGGCCCGTAGCCAGCTTGCTAGCTTCGGAGGGGCAGTGATACGGGCCTGATATAAAGTAGTCCTGTCAACAGAGAGAGAGAAATGGGGTTTAACGTTCACTTGACACAAACTAGGTCATTTCGGGACTAACATGATTCAGTTCTATTTCAACAATTCTCTTGCGCTTAGGCGGTCTTTAGCAGTGGGAGGAAACCGGAAGACCCGGACAAAAAAAGTAGGTTGGACAGGCGACCCTACTCCTTGTCACGTACAACTGGGGAATCGAAACCACGCCAGTTGACTCAATGACAGACTTTCTGATACAGCGCTCATACGCTAACCATTCAGCCATCCACACACCCTAGCTGTCAACAGAAATATTTATTGTTTGGTACAATAAACAGGTATCGATATAAAGAGCTTCCCCCCAGTTTGCTTGTCCCACATTCAATTAACTATTTAGCTTCAGTCTAGAATAGCGAGGTTATCCACTTTTAAATTCTTAATGAATTAATCTCGAGCTCCGACCATCAATAACGGAAAGTTTAAACCAACTGTGAGAACCACAACCTTTCCGTTAAATTATAGTTACTCCCCTTTAACCATTTTAACCGTTCAAAGCCTTTCTAAACGGATTCTTTTAAATCTATATTTCCGCTGTTTATTTGCATAAAATCGATTTCAACGTCAGTATATAACGTCAATAAATAAAGCGGAAAAGGATGGAAAGAAAATTATGGCTGTTAATCTGGATTGGTGAAGCTTACTTTGAGCCCCTACATATATAACAAAAAAAGGGGGAAATCATTGGAATTTCCTCGTCCAATCTGGATATTTGGTTTTTGGAATATTTTGTTACATATCATTGAATTTTTCGGAAAATATCAAATCTCCCGCAGCTTAATCCACGCTGTTTTCAGATTAACGTTTAATTAATAAAACAAAAATCAATATATCAAGGATTGATAATGTCCCAGTTTGGAAAAAAAGGCACATCAATTAAATTTCGGGCACGATCAAGATGGTGGTGGTCTTCTTCTTTACATATAGGGAGCCGCGTAGAATGATGGAATTTCAATTCTTTGTATATACTGAGCGGAATTTAACCTTCCTTGGACTGATATTCCTTTTAGAATCGTGCGTGAACTTTAGAACGTACGTTCTGTCATTGAGCCCACTGGCGCCTATAATGTGGAAAATATTTCGAAAATAACATTAAAATGTTATTTTTGAAATATTTTCCACATTATAATGTTATTTTTGAAATATTTTCCACATTATAAGCGCTTAAAAGCTGTGACTAAGTAGGCTATATGTCTAAAGTCTGTTTTTTCCATGTTCGGAAATAACTGGTCTGATTCCAAATTGTAACTCGGGGACAAATAACTCGTCTAAAACCGGATATAATATACCAATGTTGAGAAACGGATTGGAATTAAATAATTGGTATAAAAGTTCACTACTCTAGATTCTGTCAACCAGTGGCAATACTCACTAAATTTCGCTAGGTAGACTAATCGAGTCTACGTCGAGAGAGAGGGAGAAATGGGGTATAACGTCCACTCGACACAAACTAGGTCATTTCGGGACTAACATGATTCAATTCTATTTCAACAATTCTCTTGCGCTTAGGGGGTCTTTAGCAGTGGGAGGAAACCGGAGGACCCGGACAAAAAAAGTAGGTTGGACAGGCGACCCTACTCCTTGTCACGTACAACTGGGGAATCGAAACCACGCCAGTTGACTCAATGGCAGGCCTTATGATACAGCGCGCACTTGCTAACCATTCGAAAATTTAATTCCGCAACGTCCAATCGAGTATCCCCATAGACATCCAACTAAAATAATATTCTGTGACAATGTACAAATAATAATTCACTTTGTGCAATTTTTGATTAATAACTATCTGTAAAAAGATATCTGTAGGATCCGTTCTGTTTTTTTGACCATGTTATATCTCGTCAAAGGCTCAAGGTGTAAACAGAGCTAGCGCTAACTCTAACCCTGGGCCTAGTCTAACCCTTACTCTTACCCTATTGCACAATCCACATACTATTATGACGTCATATGTGCAGGACCGTCTCCGTTCTAGATCTAGTGTTCTCGAACTGTCCAGGTATTCCTCTTTTAAAATCATGTTTTATAAATTTCCGAAATACGCACATAAATATTATCTGTGTTTTAAGAGATAATTCTCAATAGTTTCTCCTTACTAAAATATAGATAAATTCTAGGCCTATACGTATTATTCCCATTCCAGCTTACGACGTGATCCCGCTTGTTTACATACGGTTGGTTTGTGTGACGTAATACACAATATTTAGATCATGTGACCAAATGAGATCCCGTCTGTGGTGACTGGAAAAGAATGCCGTCCCAATTCTAGCCGAGTTGTTCCGGTAGTGTTAATTTCAACATGGTTGTGTCGTGATCCTGCGTGAGTAAATATTGTATTTATGGTCGGTAGGATTGCCCAAGGCAACACAAAACGGATTGGGCTAAAAGGAATTAGCCTTGTCAAAAGAGTTGTTCGATGAGTCCAAACATGGTAGGCCCACTAGACTACACACACAATACTTGCTTCGTCTCGTGATACTTCAATTACTTGTCCTCTCTTCGTTCATTCTTGTCTAATTTCGCTATTGCACTTTCGTATCTCTACCAGTTCCTGTGGTCGTAGGAACTTGAAATTATTAGAGGATGTTACGGGGGACTAGCAATGACCACACACCAAATTTCAGCCGAATCGATAAATAACTTTTTATTTTACCGACCTTTTAATTTCTAACGAGAGAGAACTTTATCTGTTTGACGCCATTTGCTTTGTTTACTATTTAGACTCGAATAACAAGACACTAAGACGGAAACCGACACACTGCACTAGCTGCCTATCTCTGCAGTTCATAAAAATTAATATAATTTTCGTATACTTTAATTTTTGCGCGAAGCCACCATGTTCTATAAAATACTATTTGGTGTTGATCAGTGGATTGGCCTTTAGGTGTGAATATTGCCGTGACCTTGAGTCTTAACTTCCCATCCATATCAGGGCCTTTGCGTTTATGATTGCCGTGGCCTTATTTCTTACTGTATTTTCAAAGTTAATGTTCGAGGTGAAAGCAGAGACGACGTCCTTCGGAAAAGATGATTGGGTCAAAGTCGTAGGTCAAGGTCATGTTACAGAAAACTAAACTCAAACTTTTCAAAGTCATTTTTTGGACATTTGACCTTGACTTACGACCTTGACCCCGTAACCATTTTCGAAGGCTATCACCATGGCTTGAATCATGGACGTTTACCTTGGTTCTGTCACACACTGCTCGGTCAGAAAAGGGTCAAACGGAGAGGGGCCCGTGTCCGAAAGGAAGTCAATGGGCGTGGTCAATGTGAAAGGTCGTAGTGACCTCTACTAGTCACCGTTAACCATCCGTGACCTTGACCCTGACCTAGAGTCCGAACTTCCCATCCATCTCGGACCCTTTGCGTTTATGCGTGCCGTGACCTTGTCTCATTTTTGGGACAGGGCCAGGGTAAACGTCGATGGTTCAAGCCAAGATGATGGGCTTTGAAAATGGTTACGGGTCAAGCTTGTAAGTCAAGGTCAAATGTCCCAAAACTGACCTTGAAAAGTTTGAGTTCAGTTTTCTATAACATGACCTTGACCTACGAATTTGACCCAATTATCTTTTCTGAGGGACGTTGTCTCTGATTTCACCTCAAGCATTAACTTTGATAATACAGTAAGAAATAGGGTCACGGCAAGCATAAACGAAAAGGGCCCGAGATTGATGGGAAGTTTGGACTCAAGGTCGAAGTCAAGGTCACGGATGGTTAAAGGTGACTAGTGGAGGTCACCACGAACTTTCACATTGACCACGCCCTTGACTTCCTTTCGGGCACGGGCCCCTCTGCGTTTGACCGTTTTCTGATCGAACAGTTTGCGTCAGGACCAAGGTAAACGCCCATGATTCAAGCCAAGTTGATAGCCTTTCAAAATGGTTACGGGGTCAAGGTCGTAAGTCAAGGTCAAATGTCCCAAAACTGACTTTGAAAAGTTTGAGTTCAGTTTTCTGTAACATGACCTTGACCTACGACTTTGACCTTTTAACTTTTCTGAAGGACGTTGTCTCTGCTTTCACCTCAAGCATTAACTTTGATAATACAGTAAGAAATAGGGTCACGGCAAGCATAAACGAAAAGGGCCCGAGATGGATAGGAAGTTTGGACTCAAGGTCAAAGTCAAGGTCACAGATGGTTAAAGGTGACTAGTGGAGGTCACCACGACCTTTCACATTGACCACGCCCATTGACTTCCTTTCGGACACGGGCCCTTTGCGTTTGACCCTTTTTCTGACCGAACAGTGTGCGACAGGACCAAAGTAAACGTCGATGGTTCAAGTCAAGGTGATAGCCTTCGAAAATGGTTACGAGGTCAAGGTCGTAAGTCAAGGTCAAATGTCCCAAAACTGACTTTGAAAAGTCCGAGTTTAGTTTTCTGTAAGATGACCTTGACCTACGACTTTGACCCAATTATCTTTTCTGGAGGACGTCGTCTCTGCTTTCACCTCGAACATTAACTTTGATAATACAGTTAGAAATAAGGCCACGGCAAGCATAAACGCAAAGGGCCCGAGATGGATGGGACATTTGGACTCAAGGTCAGAGTCAAGGTTACGGATGGTTAACGGTGACTAGTGGAGGTCACCTCGACCTTTCACATTGACCACGCCCATTGACTTCCTTTCGGACACGGACCCTCTGCGTTTGACCGTTTTCTGACCGAGCAGTGTGCGATAGGACCAAGGTAAACGTTCATGATTCAAGCCAATGTGATAGCCTTCGAAAATGGTTACGGGGTCAAGGTCGTAAGTCAAGATCAAATGTCCCAAAAATGACTTTGAAAAGTTTGAGTTTAGTTTTCTGTAACATGACCTTGACCTACGACTTTAACCCAATTATCTTTTCTGAAGGACGTCATCTCTGCTTTCACCTCGAACATTAACTTTGATAATACAGTAGGAAATAAGGCCACGGCAAGCATAAACGCAAAGGCCCCGATATGGATGGGAAGTTTGGCCTCAAGGTCAAAATCAAGGTCACGGCAATATTCACACCTAAAGGCCAATCCACTGATCAACACCAAATAGTATTTTATAGAAAATGGTGGCTTCGCGCAAAAATTAAAGTATACGAAAATTATATTAATTTTTATGAACTGCAGTGTTAGGCAGCTAGTGCAGTGTGTCGGTTTCCGTCTAAGTGTCTTGTTATTCGAGTCGGTTTCCGTCTTAGTGTCTTGTTATTCAAGTCTAATTAGTAAACAAACCAAATGGCGTCAAACGGATGAAGTTCTCTCTCGTTAGAAATTAAAAGGTCGGTAAAATAAAAAGTTATTTATCGATTCGGCTGAAATTTGGTGTGTGGTCATTGCTAGCCCCCCTTAACATCCTCTGAAAATTTCAAGTGCCTACGACCACGGGAACAGGTAGAGGTACGAAAGTGCAATAGCGCCTTTAATTACTTATTGCCAGAAAGCGGTGTAATTTTGAAATTATCCTGACTGTATATATATTAGAGGCCTAGTTATTCGAGTTAAAGATAGGCCTTGTCCTACTGAAGCTTTCTTGCCTGAATGTAAAACGCCAAGAGTTAATTTAATGTGAACTTGTGTATTAATTAGCATGTTTATTGTGTACATTGACATTCGGAGTCGGATTTCAGTCTCTAAACTGAAGACAGGGGCCTAAGTTCGGAGCCTCGACGAAATAGGCCTACGTCTATCTCGGTAAATGTCGGATATTTAGGACTGTTTTTGTTCAGTAGCTCTAAGGATTGAATATACATGCACATTACACTATCGCCCGGACTATAGTATATGAAAAGTGGGTGGAGATTGAAATGTCTCCCATAGGCCTACCACTACCAGACTTGCGTTGAGCACCATTTCAACTTCAACTGGACTATGAATGAAGACAGGTGTAACCCAGGAAAGCTTTGTTGTAGTTATACTTTTACAGTGTGATATGAGGGAAATTTTCCCCGGACAGCGACGCTCATCGAATTCTGGCTGCTAAGAGTTCGTTTACTTGCACGCCAACGTGTACACGGGACTTACTTTTTTCGTCCCATTCGAACAACTAGACAGCTGTTCCTTAAAACGACCCCCCCCCCCCGTTCTGCATCACTGCACTAGCCTAGAAATTCCCGCTAAACTTTCTGGGCAAATAATGGTGGTTCAGCAATATTGTTTAAAGGGGTATTGGGGCGTTAAACATGTAATTATATAAAATAATTTCATATGGTGGGCGGGCTTGGTAGGTTGATCTGTCTAAATATTTCTTTTTTCAGAGAACAGTGATGTAGAATGGCAGAAGCGACTCAATCACCCAACATACCTGCTAAATCCAAAATGGACGATTCAAACGCAAAGATAGGCCTGTCGCCATCTTTTTTAACCGCCCCGACAGTTACGCCACCTGATAAGAAGAAATATAGTCTGAATAAAGATCGAACGATGAAAAAGATACACGAGGCTGCCAGCAGACAATTGAATGTGAAGTTGGAACATAAACAAGGCAAGGTTGTCATGGAACTATCGGCATCAGCATTTACTAATATGACAAGAGCCCTGGAGCCCTATTACCGCCAAAACGGCTATGGAGTTTCCGATAATTTTCAATATGATAACCAGGATATTCTAGTGGAAACCAATTTATTCATTAAGAATTTAGAGACAAAGAAGAAGTTATTGACCTTCTGTATGTACCACACGACCTGTCGTATTTTGATTTCGGGAGCTTTAACTGGTGACTTTCTTAATGAACACGTTAAAGACATTGTGAAATCTCTGGACAGCGAATTACAATTAAATGAACTTAATAAAGAAATCCAAAGAATATGTTTAGACAAACAGGCGCAAAAATCCTCTCCAAAAGACAAATCTACACCAGAGTGTAAGCCAGGAATATCTCTTCAGACATCCCTAGGTGAGTATACATCTTCTTGGTGTCTCTTACACAAAGTTAAGTTGGACTGATTCCACATATTTATGGACCGTTTCCCGATAGTCGAAAGTAATGCGGTTGAAAGAATAGATAAATTAATTCACGGATCAAAAACTCCATTGTGTTTCAAAGCAAAATGAAATGGGGTTTAACGCCCTACTGTTCTGCTTCTACATGGCTAATGAGGACGGGCATACGCCATACAGTGTGCTATAAGGGAAACGTTGCCCGGGCAGCGGCACTATGGCCTACTCTTATATCGAATTCCAACTGCAAGGGGATCTTTTAAGTGCACGCCAATGTATACACGTGACCTCGGTTTTTAGTCCCATCCGTACTACTAGACAACTGTCATTGTCAGGCCCTCCGTCCTGCACCACGTTAGAAAATACAGCTGAACTTTCTCGGCCATTGCAGGGATCGAACATGCGACCTCTAACTAGCGACCCAGCGTCTTACCCACTTAGCCACCGTGGCTCCCATGTTTCAAAGCAACAAACAAAGCAATCAAATATGCGCGGATGGCGTTGATGTTCGAAATCATTAAAAATAGAAAAGTCTATTCGCAAGAAGTAAAGTTATTGAAATTCAAATTCGAGTTATGCAGAGTTATTGTCCCATGCTAGACTTTGATGACGTCTAATTGTTTGGCTAGTCATACAAATTTGCATATTTGCAAATTTAGAGTAATTCTAACTTATACCGACTTCAAATTTAACAGCGTTCTAGCTATTTACCTTTTCGGATCCAGGAATTTTTGCAGGAGGGGGGTTTGCAAGTTCCTGAGACAGTGTATCCCCCCCCCCCCCGCTGAATTTTGTTGAGAAATACATGGTCTCTATCGTCGTTTTGGCATATATATACACATTGAGCTTTTTAAACGTAAATCCAACATCCCGTTTGACGTCAATTTGTATTATGAATTAATACGATGACACTGAGATTCAATTTCATTGATGAAAAGCATTAATTGTCTATATCATTATCCCGAGCTTTGAGTGACCATCCCGTCCCAACATCTAACGATAAAGGATAAAGCACACGGCCGAGACACTTTTCTCATAAAAAGTATTGTTTTACAAAAAAAAGTTATGTAGCTGAGCAGATGGTGGTGGGGGGGGGGGGGTCTGGATCCGCCCCTGATCTCGGATTTATTTTCCTATTTCAGAAGATTGGATCAGTGGTCTGCCAGATGATAAAAAATATGAAGTCATATCGGAACAGAAGCTGAGTACGCTTGTTGGGTTTATTGGAACCAATTGGGAGTCCATAGTTTTACACTTGGGTTACAGTGAAGCTCAAATAAACCAAGCCACCATGAAACATCCCCATAATCCCCACATGCAGATTTTTACTGCTCTAAATAAATGGCGACAGAGGGAAGCCAGTAAGGCAACGTTTATAGTTTTGATGACAGCCTTGAAGGAATGTACTGTAGCCACGATTGACTGGGATAGGATTAAAACGTATGTAAATGAAATAAGTTATTAATGTCACTGAATTTCCCAAATAAAATATGACCAGGACGATATGAATTTTACATGCTTATTGTAGTTGAAAATTTATTTTAAACAATATATGTACAGTGTTTTGCAAAGAGTTGACAGCGGGTGTGTGGTTGGTGATCGAGGCCCGGAGGACGGCCCTGAGCATCTACTATAGGGGGCTTCTAATTAGAGAGTGAAATCAAATTGTTGTTTTTTTTTTCTAAATTATCGCTGCTAAATTTATTGATTTTATCTGTTCTTTCTCACAATTCTGAGTGCTAGGCCCAATATTTGAGTCTTGGGGGCAAACAATTAAGGAGCTCATGACCCTATATTTGAGTCTTGGGGCCATACAAAAAAGGATCTGGGCCTATATTTGAGACTTAGGGCCATATAATCAAGGAGCTGGGCCTATATCTCAACCTCAGGGCTATATATTCAAGGAGTAAGCCAAATCTCTGCACGATAAAGTACACGTAATCTTTGATTTATCGTTCTTGAATCCTTATTCATTGTTTGTGTTTTGAGTATTAAAATAGTTTAAAGTTGTCATACATTAATGTGTTCTACTCTTACTGTACGGTGGCCTAATGGTCAAACGTGTACGTGACTGCCGACTGCTTAACGTTGTGGATTATCTCCATATGTTAATCCAGACGTGACCTAGTTTGTGTTGAGTGGGGGGGATGGCCGAATGGTTAGCACGTGCGTGCTGTATCATAAAGCCTGTCATTGAGTCAACTGGCGTGGTTTCGAATCCCCGGTTGAACGTGACAAGGATTAGGGTCGCCTGTCCAACCTCGTGGGTTTTCTCCGGGTCCTCCGGTTTCCTCCCACTGCTAAAGACCCCTACGCGCAAGCGAATTGTCTCCCTTTAATTATATGAACCATGCCCATCCTATTTAGAGTTGACTGTTTTATGTGATTATATTGTTTGCATACCATATATAGTTTTTTTTCAACAATTCGTAATGTCAGGCAATCAAACCTCTGTCGATTCACTCAGATATGTTTTTTCTTCAATCAAGTCGTTTTGATATGCATAAATAATCCCAAAAAACGATATCATAGCCACTTGTTTCCAATATTTACATTACTTTCGTCCATTTCCATTTTGTCACTGCCGCCATGCGCTGACGTCACACAAAAACCTAACCAACCTCTGAAGTCTTGTATACTTCCGCCTCAAAATGATGAATATTCACCAAAACCTGGCAGAAAATGTATATGCAAACCCTCTTCTTCGATTCTACACCCAAAAGTCAACAAAAATCGCCATGCAAAAGGGAGAAAATGGAAAGGGAGAAAAAAACTAAAAATATCTTTGGCACTTGTTTTAATGGTGTAGTCACTGCGGATTAATTTTGTCCGACCAAAATTTTCCCCATGTACCACACTTTATAGTGTATGCCAGTCTTCATTACCCCAGTCCGTACAGAAAGGTAGGATGAAAAACCCCATTTCATTTATTTTTCTACACTATATTATATAACACCCACAGAATGCACGTCAGTAGAATGACATTAGTTTAGTTCTACACTATATTATATACCACACGCAGACAGCACGTCAGTAGAACGACATTAGTTTAGTTCTACACTATATTATATACCACACACAGACAGCACGTCAGTAGAATGACATTAGTTTAGTTCTACACTATATTATATAACAGTACGTCAGTAGAACGACATTAGTTTGGATTTAAAACATATTTTATTGAAACAAAATTAGAATCAAAAATTATAAAACATTGTTAATTCATTATACAGTTGAAAGTTCAAACATAAATTATATACATCTTTGAAACATATTTTAGGACATAATAATATAATTGTTCACCTGATAACCACGACTACAACCATTGTTCTATTTTAGTTTATTAATACCAGGGTCCGTATTCAATGGTTTTCTTAAAGTTAAGTAAAAATACTTAATTTTTCCACTTAACCAGGGTCCGTATTCAAAGGTTTTCTTAAAGTTAAGTAAAAATACTTAATTCTTCCACTTAACCAAATGTCTTACCTTAAATCGGTATTCAAAGGCTCCATTTTACATATACTTGGCATTGTGAAAAACTTTTAAACTGCACACTTAAAATATGGAATATCAACATTAGCCAAAAAGCATGAATTTTTAACTTATGGAAAACCTACACTGCCAAAAATCACGAATTACTCACTTCGCACGCAAGTTATGTCCCCTTAAGGGCACCACTATACTCTATTAAAATCTTACTTGTCATTACTTACTAGGAAAATATTTGTCGAAATATTATATTGTAACGCACGAAAATAGTATGACTATAATTTATGCTAAATTATGATGGTACGCATCCGTTACATTACGGGCCTGCTACTACATTATGTACTCCGGTTAAAGGAAGTCATTATAATCTCACTTAACTTTAAGGTACCTCACACAGATCACTTAACGTTATGTGTTTTTTTCTCAGTTAAACTGGCCTTTGAATACCACTAAAAGACCAAGCACTTGTAAGTTAAGGCAGCTTAACTTTAAGGGAAAATTCGATACTTAACACTGCCTTTGAATATCACTTACCCTTTACTTACAGGAAGATACGTATATTTAAGTGAAATCTAGTAGTTAAGTGGCTATGTTAGACTTAAGATATCCTTTGAATACCAACCCTGGAGTATAATTCTATATATCGATAGCGATGGGGGTGTATAACATACTTGGTTAATTATTACCCTCTCATATGGACGTTAAACCTAATTCAGACCCCAACCACCCATCAAAACAAAAGGAAAAGTAATACCTAACCTCGTTCTGGTTTAATTTCTCCGCCCATCCAAGTCGCTCATTATATTTTATTATAAGTAATACCTAATCTACTTAAGACCCCCCCCCCCCCCCTTCCATTTTTTTTCAAAACACAGGAAGAAGTATGGAGGCCATTAAAACATCATATTGATATATACACTATATTTTACTATTGCCAGCACACAACATCGTCCTGGTCTACAACACCACGTTGTTCCAGGATATAGTCGTCCATGTCGTTATAATAACTGTTGTAGATACATTCCTCACTACCATCTCTATATCCCCATATACCAATCCAACAAAATCTCCTTTTCTTCTTCTTTTCTATCAATATCATTAAATCCATAACATTGTCTTTCTTACTGACAGTTATAGTACCCATATCTTCAAGCATACCACCAACTCTATAAATACGGGTTAATATATTATATCATTATCACCTAATATAAATACAGGTTAATATATTATATCATTATCAACTGATATAAATACAGGTTAATATATTATATCATTATCAACTGATATAAATACAGGTTAATATATTATATCATTATCAATTGATATAAATACATCACACTGTTTCACTAGTCAGTATATTATTCAGGTCACGTGTATTTAGACATCGGGTAATATTTGTTGTTTATTATTCATTCGATTCAACACTTACAGTTTACAAATCATCAACATATATTATTATAAACACATTTACCTACCTGTAAAATAACTTTAAAGTAATATCATTACTCGTATCCCTGATATAACGTCGAATGTTTCGTGAAACTTCTGATTGTTCTACTTTCGTTTTAAATGCCTCCAGGTCAGCCACCCTGTTTTTTAATTCAGCTATTTCTTCATCTTTTCTTTCAAATTTGTCAGCCATCTCTTTAGTTATCCGATTGATCTGGAATCTCAAATCTTTCATCTCGGATGTGCGATCATCCAGGTCGGTCTGGTTACTAGTTTCATTTATTGTGTTTGATTTTCCAATCTGTACAGCTTCACAATCACCATGTATATTATACATGTAGGTATTGTTGGTAACGGTTGATATCTAGAATAGAAAATAAATAAACAACCAGTCTCTCTACTTTAAAAATATTATTACAACAATATCTATCTTCTTGGATGAAATTAAAAAAAAATTCACTTTACCCGTCTGCCCGAAAGTTAGGGGGGCAGTTCCCCACCCCCTGCCCTATGGAAGGGTATCGCTGCCAATATTAAATGCTCTGCTAAAATGTCTTTTCTATTGATTACGTGTAAAAAGTACAATGTACAAAGTCTTAATACCGGTAATGGTAAAGTCAAATTACCTCCAAGGCCAAAGTTAAAGTAAAACGTCAAATGTCAAATTTTTTATTGGAAAATGCTGTTTTTGACGTGTCTACATTTGACATTTGACATTTCCCTCATCACATTTTACACTTGCGTTCTGTTGCATCTCATTTTTCGGTCCTTCACGCTTTCTACATAACATCTTACGTAGAGCACCAAGTTTGATATGCAGATGTAGGATATCACGTGACTTAACATATACGGAAACAAGGCCGAGATCAAACGAATTAAATCGGCATTTTGGTCACCCATGGGCCCCCCGTTTGTCGTTCTTATCCGGGATAGAAGGGGATTTTGCGTTCTTAAGTTAGTGTTATGTTCTAACGGACCCATAGTGAAACTTTTAACTATTCAGTCTATTATTTATAGATCATTATTTGGTCATCATTTATTAAGTACAACATGATCGTTTATTTAGTGACTATAATTGTGTGAAACTGATTTAAGGCTTGGTATGTATATAAATATGGTGGCGTAATTGTCCAGATATTTGGAGATATTTATTTATGTGGGTCACCCTACCATTGGAAAAACCCAGCCTATGTATAGTGTATTAATCACGAGTTATAGTCTTGTATAACTTGTCTCGCATCTAACTACTTTGAGGGGGATCGAGTACGAGAAATAATTATATTATTTCTACAATCATGAATATCCATAAAGAATATAATCTTGAACACTAATACAATACTTTACTGTATTATAAGTTTAACCGAAATATAGATTAGAATAAAATGTGTTGTAACAGTCTCATTGAATGCTTACCAGTTATTTGATCTATAGGTGTTCAGTTGTGTCTGGATAACTTTGACTATTGAATACAGGACGTCATTGGAAAAACCTGTCTATTTATAGGTATTACGACAGCTTGTAAATATAGTGATCACCACGACCTGTTGTTATTCTATACATTCAGATAATCTTTATCTATATATCTAACTAAAACTTATAAATTACCAATTATCGTATAATAATATTAAAGGGGCGTTATTCTATTATTTAAACATACATTATGAAAGAACAAAATCTGTCTATTGTAGGTCTTTCTCTAGGTCTTAAATGTTATATCGGTTATTACTTAGACATTAATTAATTTACTAAGGCCATAATCAACTCTCGATGCCAGATTTAAATACGAATTACAGTTGAGGATTTAATTTGAAAATGGATAACCAAGACTTTGTTTATCATATTAACAACGTACAGTAGCAATGACAACCGAGACTAAACTGTTCTTGTAGTGGCGATAACTCAACTCATTATGCAGTACTTTGACTGAGATTTTCAACATAATCCCTTGTCACCATCTCTTTATCTAAGTCTTATATAATGCCCCTTTAATTAGAGTTGACTTTCTCCATTTTAGCTACACACGTGGAGACATTCTTGTGGGCGTATTTCTCTGTCACGTGTCTGTTTATGAATAT